TATTATACAACCACAACTCTCATCGTTCCAGCGTTCGCGTTCAGAAACGCCGTCCTCGCGTTCACGTTACAAGATGCGTTTCATCAACTCCCCACCGTCTACGATATTCACGGGAGCCAAGATCGAAGCCAAGAACCGTTCTCCTATAACGCTCGAGCTCGTGGATGTAGCCACGAACTCACGAGTCGTGTCCGGACCGTTCTCGTCTTCTCGTGTCGAAATCGTGCCGCTGGACGCTGACTTCACGGAGGAAAGCTGGAGCGTTGACGTGTTCAAAGGGTATATTGTAACGCAACGCAAAGGGAAACGTCCGTTACTAACCGGAGATTTAACGGTGACGCTTAAAGACGGTGTTGGAGTGATTAATGGAGTTGTTACTTTCTCGGATAATTCGAGTTGGACTAGGAGTAAGAAGTTCCGGTTAGGTGCTAGACTAACCGGTGGTGGAGCCGTGGAGGGGAGAAGTGATGCCTTTAAAGTTAAAGACCAACGTGGAGAATGTAAGTATACTTGCTGTCTGAAATGGTTAGTGAGTTTAGGGTAAAATATCAAAATAAATCACCTAGATAGCATAAAAAAAATTTAGGGGAAAATAGTTTACAAAGAGAAAAATCTTAAAACTAACAATAATTTAAAAATAAAATGATTAAATAAAATGGTTAATGCGGGTAGGGTGAAATATCACAGCAGATCTATATATTAGATAGCACAAAAAGTTATGACAAAATAGTTTACAAAGAAAAAATCTTTAAAATAACATTAATTTAAAGGGTAAAATATCTCAATTATTTTAAACTCTAATTTTTTTTAAGATAAGAGTACTCATAGCTTAACTCAGTTTCCTAAATATATCTAAACTCTAATTATTAAACCTAAATTAAAATACAAAATAAAAAGTTATTTTTAACTAATGAGATTGTTCTAAAAAAAATTATTGCTATTTTAGAATATTTTTTTATCAGTTATCAATCATTTTTTTTTGTTATTGATCCTTTTTATTTTCTACATTTTTGGTTATGCAGCTTATAAAAAACATCATCCTCCGTACCCCGGTGACGAGGTTTGGAGACTAGAGAGAATAGCGAAAGTTGGCGTTTCGACGAAGCGTTTGGCAGAACATAATATTATTACCGTCAAGGATTTTCTCCGTTGGAATACGGTAGATTCAGATGCGCTATACAACGTAAGATTGGTTATAAACCTAAAATAATATCCAAACGAGTCTTCAAAGTATATAAACCTAACCTAATTAAGCTGTTATTTTTAACAGCTACTTGGTGGAGAGCATATTCTTGTTGGAGGGATCTCAAAGAAAACATTTGAAGCAATTGTATCCCATGCTAAGCAATGCGTTTTGGACGAGGCAGAGTGTTACATCTACAACGCAACAACCGCTCTTGGCGTGTCGCTTATTTTCAATTCTGTCTATGAAGTAATCAAAGTGTGTTTCAGTGATGGCACGTTTCGAAACCCCGACCAGCTACCCACATATCAGCTTTATGAGTTGAAGCGTGAAGCGTATCAAAACATTATCCAGTTTAGGTCTTTTCTGGAACATCCACAACGTTCCTTGCAATGCACGCAAAATCCTGGATTTGAAATTGCCTATCCTGGATTGCAGCACAACAACTTTCAAGGTATACATTTTAATTTTTTGTAACATTCTAAGGTCCCTTTATAGGGAAATTGCCAGAAATAACACTTTCAAGATACCACTTTTCAACTTTACACTAACCAACTTTACCATTAAAATTTTAATAGTCAAAATACTATTAGAATTTAGGGTTTAGGATTGATAGTTTAAGGTTTAGTGTTGCTTTTTCAGGGTTTACTTTTTAGGGTTTAAAGTTTAGGGTTTAGAATTGGTATTTTAGGGTTTATGGTTTACTTTTTAGGGTCTAGAGTTTAGAATTGATGTTTTAGGGTTTAGGGTTAATATTTTATTTAATATTTATTTTATATATATATATATATAAAGAACAAGGATATAAGAGTCTTTTATCCTTTAATAAAATGTGTATTTTTGAAAATGTTCCTTTGTTGATGGTAAACATGAAAAGTGGTATAATATAAATTCTCCCATTTTTATATGTGTATATATTATATCTAGACTTAATAAATTATTAGATGTTTTTTCTTTTCTTTTTGGATATTTAGGAATTTCAGATTCATTAAACTCTTTGAGGTCTATTTATTTCACAGCTTCAAACTCCACTCTCCAACCAGAGATGCTGATGAATTTTGAAAACTCATCACGAGCCACGACGTCGTATCACATTGATGGAAAATTCTTGCAAAGAAACAGCTTCAGGGCTAGTGAACACGATCAGGTGCACAGCGATTGTATCAAAAATTACGAGAACACTTCTGCTTGTCATCAACATCATGACTTTCCCTTGAACTGGTCGCCTGGTGCAGCGGATTGGGAGCAACAAATGAACAACAGTTTTTGTGTTAGCGTGTCTGGCACGGAAGAAGCTGGAACGTATGATGTTCATATCGCAAACATTAATGTGGGTTCACCAAGAGCCAGGTGGTGTAAGGTTAAGGCAGCTTTTAAGATCCGAGAAGTCTGGAAACTCACGACTGCTAGAAAAAGATCAGGGAAGGCTTGTAAGAAACCTTGTCTACCGTATTAGATACAGAGGTTTTCGATTCTTATACGGTGCATGAAAAATGTATATATTGTGTATGTGTGTGAAAATTTATTCTTTCTTTTTTTGATAGAATAGTGTTAGTTAAATTGATCCCGGCCATTGACTGTTTTCAATGGTTTAATAAGTACTGGGGATTAGTCTTTGTGTATATACCTTGTTTGATATGTAACTCTCTACGAAAAATATAGAGTATATATAACAAAAATCAGTTTACAAGTTTTATATTTCAAGTATTTGTTTAGCCCCTATATTGAAATGGTTTTCTTGTTCTAAAAATCGGTCTAGACTCCCGCCTAATCGACAAATCGGATATGAACGAAATGATTTTTTCAAACCGACTTTTAAAGAAATCGGTTTACACTATAAAAAAATCGGTCTAAGCACCGGTCTAACCAATAATCTTCTACAAAACGTCTAACCATCGCCTAGCGATTTTTAGAACATTGGTTTTATATAGCAAAGGACTTGTCATTGCAGCCTCATATTGGATTTAAAGATTTCTCGAGGTGAACGAAAGCTATAAACATAAGATATATTTTTGTCTTTCCCCTCTTCCCCTATCTATACCATGTTTTTAGAGAAAGATAAAACAACATTTATTTTGACAAAGTCAGTTTACATGACAAAGTCAGTTTACATCTTTTAATTTGTGTAGTACGAATGTTTGATTTCACTTGGCTTAGTTGGCTAGAACTTATTAGAAAATTACATGCTGGGGTTAGACAGACTATTATATTGCCTTGTGTGTTTCCCTTTATATAATATGCATTTTTGCTTTTCCTAGAATTGATTAAGGAAGAAGACTATTGGCTCCACATCCTAACAAAAAAAGTCTATGAGTAAGTGAAAACATTGGTGGCTTTTGTTACATTGCTTATTCCTCTCTGTCTTCACGTGAACAAGTTTGCTGAATCTGTGGTTTCTTCTACTTTATTGTCTCTAAAACACACACGCACTCATAATTTTTTTTTTAAACAATTCCACAGATCTCGGTCGTGCGTACTGCCACTTGGCTTTCCACCTGACAATGATTCGGCAGATGTTTTGTTTTGTATCAGCAGTCTAGCAGAAAGGCCATAATCATTAACTGGACAAAAGTGTGGCCAAGGGTGTTTGTGTCTTCTTACCACAATCACACTTGTTTCAAAGAGTTTTTAAGGAGATCTTAAGCCGTTCTTGATGATTGACTCATACCATACAAAAAAAAACTAGCAATCTTGCCATAGTTTCTCCATATCAATCCTCTTGGCATCATTTGGCTACTGTGTTTACAAAAAGGAGCTCTGAAAATAAAGGTTGGTTGGTTGGTTCTTTGATTTGATTGAACCAAGAGAGCTATGTTCTTGTAATTCCTCTAATGCATCATTGTTGCAGTTTTAAAACTTTTACTAGAGAGATGGAAGAAGAGAAGGAGACGATTAGGTGTTGCAGTGATTGCAAAACAATAAAGACACCAATGTGGAGAGGTGGACCTTCTGGTCCTAAGGTCTCTTCTTTCTACCCTTCATTTACTATACTTATAACATTATTTGATATTAAGATGAAATTGGATAGTTCAAGAAGTATTCTTAACTTGGTCTCTTTTTTTTTTTTTTTATGGTGAGATTTGCAGTCACTTTGCAATGCATGTGGGATCAGATTCATGAGACAGAAACGATCCGAGTTGTTATGTATTCATAACCACAAACCCTACAAGAAGATAAACACAACAATATTGTCTTCACATGGTTGCGTGGGTTTGAAGAAACGTCGGATTTTAAAAGAGGAAGAACAAGCTGCTTTTTGTCTACTATTGTTGTCTTGCAACTCTGTTCTTGCCTGAAGAAAAAAAAAGCAGAGCATCTTGATTAAAAGACATTTTTGCCCTTTATTTTGTCTTTTTTTTTTTTTTTTCGACGAATAGAACTTTTATTAATAAGATAACATAATATCTGAATACAATGTTGGTGTTAACCAATTTGGAGGATAAGCTTTACAATTTTCAAAAATAGAATTAATAGGCCCATGTCTAGCCAAACTATGAGCAACTTGATTACCGGTACGCTTTGTAAAAGTAAATGATGACGTAGATAACCTTGCCCGCCATATTGCTATATCTTGAATAATGGTTTGAATGGTGCAATCTTGTACGTTTCCATTAAGCGAGTTGACCAATATTTCAGAATCCCCTTCGAAAAGAACATGACGGTATCCTGCTATCCAAACATTTTGCATTGCGACAATTAAAGCTTTTGCCTCGGCAACTAAACTTGATTGGGCAAATCCTAGGGAAGCTGATCCCCACATAATAGACTGACCTTGACTGTCCCTAATGATCCAAGCACCCCAAACTTGGCCCGAGTTTAGATCGTACGCTGCATCGTAATTGCATTTGAGGAGACTCGACTGTGGCCGTTTCCAAAATATTACGTGATTTGGAGGAAAAACTGAGTGAATGTTTACATCAGGTGGAGTTGTTGCAGAAATATGTGCCAACCATTCTTTAACATCAGCAGAAGCATTCCCCACCATGACATTAATAGAAAGTATTGATTTTCTGAATAAAAGGAAATTATGTTTTTTCCATATACGCCAAAGTAACCAGAAAGGTAATAATCGATAATAGAGCGACAGAGATTTCTCCCCTTGGAGGTGTATAAGAAAGGCGATTTTATTGTCCACTGAAGCATCTGATAGGAGAAAAGAGATGAATGGTAAGTTTGAAAATCTCCAAATGTTAACTGAATCTGGACATTTAAAAAAACAATGTTCAATTGTTTCTTCTTCCAGGCCACATCTTTGACATAGAGGATCCAAATGCATTCCACGTGAAATCAACCTTGTATTTGTACCAATTGCTTTTGATAGGATTCGCCAGAGAAAATGTTTAAGTTTAGGCATTATATTTAAATTCCAAACTTTATTCTTGATAAGAGGATCACCATAAGGACGTTGTGGTGCTAAAAGCAAAGCTTCGGGTAAATGTCTAGCAAATCTGTATCCTGAAGAAACCGTATAGTTTCCATCTCTTGTGTTACTCCAAAGCAACTTGTCGACCGTTTCTGATTGACTTAGATGTATTTGACGAACTAAAAGTTGTTCCTCTTCACTTAAGTAAGACTGCAAAGCCACTGGATTCCATCGTTTATATGGTGTGTTTAATATAAGATCACTAACTCGTAGATCACTGTTTATATTAGAGAAAGCAGGTTTTGGGGGATTGGCTGGTAACCAATTATCTTTAAAAACCTTTATATCTTTGCCATCACCGACAGCGTAGTAACAACCCCTTTTTAATAACTCAATACCAGAAAGTAGAGAGAACCAACCATATGATTGAGTACGACATGTCTTACCCTCAAGTAACTGTTTGTCTTTTAAATATCGTGCTTTATAAAGTTTTGAAAAAAGGCAATTCGGTTTGGAGTAAATTCGCCATGCTTGTTTTGCAAGTAAAGCATCATTAAACTTTGGTAAATCCTTGAAACCAAGGCCACCTTCTTTCTTAGTAAATTGTAGTTTTTTCCATGCTACCCAAGGTAGCCCTTGTTGGTGTTCATTCTTGCTCCACCAAAATCTCATTAAAATCGTATCAATTTCTTGGGTTGTTGTAACTGGTAGTTTAAAATTTGACATAGAGTAGACTGGTGTTGACACAGCCACATATTTGATCATAACTTCTTTGCCTGCAGGTGATAGTAATTTGGTGCTCCGTTGTGACGTTCTCTGTTTTACACGTTGAACAACTGTAGAAAACATTTCTCTTTTTTTCCTTCCAAACTGTTCCGGTAAACCAAGGTACTTCCCACCACCACCATGATTTGATATACCGAGAATATGTTTCAACGAATCCTGTTTATCCCCATGGACCTTTGAACCAAAAGTTATAACTGATTTCTCCTGATTTATCTTTTGTCCAGAACATTTTTCATAAATATCAAATACTTCTTTTAAGGCTCTGCAATTTTTTTGAGGGACAATTTGCCTAATATTCATAAGGGAAGCGTTTATTAAGAATATAGCAATAGCATTTTGATTTGACATTTGCACACACTTTCTGACGATATTAGCCTTTCACTCGCGTACGCGTGATTATGAGACGAGTGGAGTGAAGTGAACCATAAAAACCATAACAACTGTCTTACGAGAAAGCAAGGACTATGTAACAATGTGTACTATACTTTAAATGACGATAGTATAAACCATGGTTGGAAACATAAGATAATATCTGAAAAAAAGGAGTTCGTGTAACTGTAAATGGGACGTACAAAACGGAGTTATTGTAAGTGTAAATGGCACTGACAAGCAAATATATAAAGTGCTTAGGTGACTATACTATAGGGGGATAGTATAATACTTAGTGGCTAACATATAAAATATGACAAAAGAAGGTTCGTATAAGAGGAGACATGGAAATACAGAACGAGTTGATTCTACTAAAGTATAGTAGACGTGGAATAAACATAATGCATATAGCATGTTAACCAGACCGAGAGTTCACCTTACTGAGAAAAGAGGATTATACTATAGGGCCAATAGTATAGTAAGAAAGAAACAAATTAAATTAAGGGGTACACTATATTGAAATGCGACTGAATATATGAAACTAAATATTCAGGTGTTTTGAGAGGAAACATATAAACATGCACGAAATACAAAATGAGAAGAGTGACACATTTCTAAAATGAATTTACATACTATTGTATACAAGTACTAGTATAGAAAATATAACATCGTACCTCGTAAATCACCTACAAAATTATATATATGTTATATACTATACTATAGTATATATTGGATAGTATAGGGAATACAATAACAATTAAGCATAGGGTCTATCAGGTATGAAACTGTGTTTATTGTTGATAAGTAAAACTGTGTTGATTGTTGGTAGGTAAAAGATAGAAGGAGAGGGAGAGAGAGGGGAGAGGGAGGGGGACTTGGACAGGGACATAGAGAGGGAGAGGGAAAGGGAGANATACTATAGTATATATTGGATAGTATAGGGCATACATTAACACACAAAGCAACCATCGAGACTAACATCTAAAAGGGGTACACTATATTGAAAGGAGACTAGATATATAAAGCTAAATATTCAGGTGCTTTGAGAGGAAACATATAAACATGCACGAAATACAAAATGAGAATAGTGACACATTTCTGAAGTGAATTTACATACTATACTATTGTATACAAGTAATAGTATAGAAATTATAACATCTTACCTCACAAATCACCTACAAAATTACATTCCATTTACAAAAGAACAATCAAGCACAGGGTCTATCATATATGAAACTGTGTTCGTTGTTGATAGGTAAAACTGTGTTGATTGTTGGTAGGTAAAATATAGAGGGAGAAGGAGGCGAGAGGGAGGGATACATGAATAGGGACATAGAGAGGGAGAGGGAGAGGAGGAGGGGGAGGGGAACATGGAGAGGGGGAGGGGTTGAGGGAGGGGGAGAGTGGGAGAGGGGGAGGGGGAGTGGGAGAGGGAGAGGGAGAGGGAGGAGGAGTGGGAGAATGAGAGGAATCGTTATACGGTTACTATACTATTAATTTTTCTCATATATTATAGACTTATACTTCATCTTCTTCATCCTTCACTGTTGCACCCAATCCCACCGTAAACTAAACCCCACCGTAAACTACTTCAATTAGATCTACAAAAAAATTGGATTGTGATCAGATATAATGTATTATAATTACAGTTTAAACTATAACTCTGATTTCCGCTTTCTTCCGTCACCGAATTTTTTACGTCTCTTCGATCTCTCTCTTTTTCCCAGTTTGTATTACAACTACAGTTTAGAAAACAAAAGTTACGATTCGTTTCCACACGCAAGCTGAGGATAAAATGGGAAATAAAGTGAAAAAAATCAATCCTATCATAACTAAAGTCTTGCTATGGTTATTTATTTATTTTTTTTGGTTCTTATGGCTACTAGGCCTAATTCCCCTTTTTTTTGATTTGCAATGCAAAAGAAAAGAGAATCATCTGCAAAAAATAGATGAGTAATAGATGGAGCTCCATTTCCGATTCTAATACCATTTATTTTTTTTCTTCGAACTTGTACATCAATAAGATGACTCAAAATATCAGCACAAAGGATATAAAGATAAGGTGATAACGGATCACCCTGAAGTAAACCCCGTTGTGGTACGATATGCCCTTTATTTTGTCTTGGGCCACTTTTTTGAGTATATCATTTTAACGTAATAAAGTTGGGCCTATTTTTGTATTAACAGGCCTGACCCGTAGATACCATTGGACAAATCTCAAATTTTAGACCGGATTATTCCGGTTATGGCTTTGCATTGAATTGGTTGAGTCTGTTCGGTACAATAAGACTTTACATTATTGTTTTCCAAAAAAGTTGAGTGTATTATTGAAAAGTGAATATAAAAATACAAACAAAAAAAAAACTTCGAAACAGTGAAAACTCTGTTTGCGCGGGTTAAGTTCACCTGCTTCACCAATATATCATCACTTAACCAATAATATTTAGACACGTATGCTTCTAACTAACACAATAACGTTTTTCAGTAAGGCGAAAAACGTGCCAGTTTTATAATACCAAAGGAAAAAACACGGCGGGTAAAAGGGTTAAACGGCATGCACTCATACGAGAAATTAAATTAAAAAACAAAACTAACTAAAATACATGTAATAAAACTTTTTTTGTTTGGACAAACATGTAATAAAACTAAAGAAATTATTACATGGAACTCGTCTCCTCTCCTATGTCTTTCACTCTCTATCCAAACAATAAAAAAAAGTCCATATAACAAAAAAAAAGACAACTTCCGGAAAACAACGCAGCATCGTCGTCTTCTTGATACGTCTTTGCATATCGCCGGAATCTTCTTGATTCGTTAATCAATCGGAATATTCGTTTTGTCTTTGTCCGAACCAAGAATCTTGATTTGTTTGGTATCTTTCTTGATTCTTCTGATTTTATTTGAGATTCGATCGAGAGAAAATAAAA